CTTTTGATAAAGCCATTCTCCTGGAGTTAAGTGTATCTCGATGTGGTTTGATTTGCATTTCCCTGATATTGAGATGTGAGCATTTTTCATATGTTTGTTGGCCATTCTCTGCTGTTCTTTAGAAAAGTTTCTGTTCAGTCCTTTGCCCACTTTTTAATAGGTTATTTGATTTTTTCTTGCTGATTTTTGTGAGTTCTAAGTATATTCTAGTTATCAGCCCCTTATCGGATGCGTAGGATGCAAAAATCTTCTCCATTCTGTAGTTGTCTGTTTACTTCATGACTGTCTTTTGGCTATGCAGAAGCTTTTAGTTGATCATGTCCCATTTATTTATTTTGTTGCTGCTAGATTGCCTTTGGGACTTCTTCATAAACTCTTGCCGTAGGCCGATGTCTAGGAGAGTGTTTCCAACATTTTCCTCTAGAATTCTACTAGTTTCATACCTTAGGTTTAAGTCTGTTATCCAGCGCGAGTTGATTTTTTGTGAGAGGTGAAAGGTATGGGTCCTGCTTTAGCCTTCTACAAGTAGCTATCCAGTTTTCCCAGCACCATTTATTGAAAAGAGATTCTTTTCCCCAGCGTATGTTTTTGTCTGCTTTGTCAAAGATTAGATGGCTATATGAGGATGGTTTTATATCAGGATTCTCAGATCGGTTCCACTGGTCAATATTCCTAATTAATGGACATTTTTAAGTAATATAGTTTTTGGAATCACAACAATTCAGTACTGGAAAAATTTGTTGCATCTGACTATCTGTAAGTATATTCTAGTGTGCTGTCTGACTAAAGCTGCATATAATATTTTTAAAAAGCAGTTGTACCCTGCCTGGCTGTTACTGTCTACTTCATATGTGTGTTCCACTGGAAGCGGATTCTTTGCACGCCCAGCTGACCAGACTGGAGCACGTGAGCCCACCCTCCTTCCCTGGCTCCAGGCCCCTGGGAGCTGGTCACCTGGTCACCCATGACTCTGCTTCCCTTTCTGTAAATGTCCCAGATAGTGTGAAGGCACAATTGTACATTCTTCCAAGAAAAGGAAATCCTGATGACCGGTGAGGTCTTTGTTCTTTATGCAATGGTGGTTGAGAAGACAGGAGCCTCAGGTGTGGCTTGACCCAGCAGCATCCCCTGAGCCCAGTGGAGGGGTTTAAAGATGAGAACAAGGGGCAGCAGCATATGGTCTTCTCCTCTTGCTTCCTTTGTGGAGAAAATGAAGTGAAATAAATTACGAAATAACTCTTAGAAGGAAAGACTCCATATGGTAGCATCGTGTATCCTCCATGACCTCAATCCAAGTTTTCTCTGACAGATCAGGTTGACAGCACAAACAGAAACTTTGATTGTTATTCTTACTTTTAAGTAATCTGTGAAAGACCACTTGCTGATAAGAATAATATTAATTTAATGTTATCTGTTTAAAGTGAAATGTTTATTCCCTTTGGGGAAAATAAATACAAATGGTAACTCTGAAAGTGATACAATTTCCTGGTTTGTTATGTTGACAGGCCATACCTGATAAAATTTCAGATGATCCTATCAAAAGTAAGTGCCCATTCTTATTGGCTAAACTAAAGAGCATGTCATAATTTTCCCTGGTGTTAACTCTCTTTCTCAGACTATGAGATGCAGTTGTCAATGTGAAACAGCATTTGTCCAACTCATCTGATAGGAATTGCTGTTCTTTTACCTTGTGGGATATTTTCACAGTCTTGACTGTCCTTTCCGATATCCCTGTCATACACATGCTGGTGGGCTGAGCGGAGGCTCCTCCTCTCCACTGCGGCACCGATTCCTGGGCACAGCATCTTTCCTGGAAGCCCCAGGTGAGTCACTCGCCAGCTCCATCCTGGTGTCTTTGGGCACCAGGCAACCCAGTGCGCTCTTCCTCTTGTCCAGCCTGCAGCTGTCCTCTTGGTCCTGGCCATTGCCTGCAGATCCGTGAAGAAGTTCAAACTAGAAAGGCATTTTAATAAAATCTCCTGGGTTTGCTTACGGACAAACAGTCCCAGAAGCCCAGTGTAATTGCTTTTACATATTACACCAGAGTTACAGAATTACATATTCACTATGGCTGTTTGGCTAACGAGGATTTTTCTTCTTCTTTCTATTTCTTTTTATTTTCCCAAGTTATCTGTAATGGCCATTTATGATTTTCACAATGAGGAAATACTTCCTTTTTCCTCACTGTGTTCCTGCCCTTTCACACAGATCTTGGGGCAATCTAGCCATTCTTCAGTCTCAGTAACTCCCACATTTTGCCACTTTGAGAGTTAGCATCTGTGTGTATTTTCCTCCAAAGACATAAGCATTTCACTCTTAACAGACCCTTCTAGGCTCTTTGCTGTCCAAGGAAACTGAGGCTGGTCTCTTGTGTCCTCATGGTGTCCTGGGTGTTGTGTTAGATTACCTAAGGCAAAGGTAGTTCAAGCTCAGGTTCTCCATCCCTGACTTTGTCATCTTGGCTAGTTAATGTCCTCAACTTAAATTTGTGATAATTGTGAGGTCACCGTGATGCTTCACTGAGGAAAAGCAGCAGAAGGCCAGACACGGTGCCTGCCATGGATAAAGTAGTTCCTAAATCTTAGCTGTTGTTTTAGTGACTGCTCACATTGTCCACACATTAAAATCAGACCCAGGTTATACTGCGAGAGTCTGTGAATTGTCAGTTAGGTCTCTGTGATAACATATCAGATAGAAGTATTTCTCAGAGTTTATTCTGGAGTTTCCACCTGGAGCCTCCAAGCAGAATTGCTGTAACACCCTTACATTTAACCCCACACCTCTTTGGTAGCTGCCTGCCCCTCACGTGCAGGGAAACTTCCCTCACTCCGCCTCCCTCTGAGCCATGTCCCCTCACACTGTGCCTCCAGACTCTCCTCCCCCAACCACTTGAGGCTGCAAACAGCCTCTGTCCATGTGCGGATTTGACATTCTTTTCTAAGCCTTTTGCAGTCGAACTTTAGCCATCTCTTCCCTGCTGGGATTGGCTGTTCAGTGGTCATTCTTGACCACTTAATGTTTAAATCCATTGGCTTTTTCCAGCTTGCATCCTGTTTGCCTCCTCTGCGGCGTGGCCAGTTCTGACCTGCCAGCCAGGTTGCAGCACTTGGCTGTCCTCCTATGGGTCCTCCCCACCTCCTCCAGCGGGTCCCACACGCTGCCCCTGCCAGCACGTAAGAGTTACTGTGGGTTGGCATGGAGCTTTATAAACAGTTGGTGACACATTATATTTATTATAGTGATGTAAAGAAATACTTATGTAATAACATGGAGCAGTAGATTATTGAATTTTTTTGTGAAGCATGATACAATCTGTGAAATATATTTAAAGAAAGAGGTAAAGGAATTATACCAGTGTTTATTGCTGTCTGCCTAATGATTTTTGTTCCTTCTTCTTTCTACTTTTCTGATTTCCCAAGTTTTACATAATGATCATTTATTACTTTTATAACCTGAAGATTTGTTTCTTTCCTTTCTTCTAGCCTTCTTTTATATGTCTTTTAGAGTGATTGCATCCACATAAGTATGATTTCACAGCTATAGCGCTATACATAATTTTTTTCTCTTTTTTCTATTTGGCACTACAGAATGTGGGTAACCTGTTCTTCTGGGTAGTATCTGTGACCATCTTATTGATGTCCTAATATTCCATTGGTTTGAAAAGATACCTCATTTTAAATAGTTTTTGTTAATATTAATATTACCTATGTAATATTATTGTACAGATGGTAGAGGTTATGAATTCTCAGTTTCAACTTTGAGGGCACTTAAAATACTTAGTTTCCTTAAGGGGTAAAATGAGAAAAGGGACTGTTTTGGGACCCTGGCAGGCAGTACCTGGGGGACTCACCTGGTGTTTTTCTAAGGGTTTCTCTCCACTCTCCACCCTCACCCTCAAGACGTGATTAACTGGTTGGAACCAAACACGAAAGGCACCCCACCTTGGTGAAAGGCCTCAGAGTCAGCAAAGAGAAAGCCAACAAATGTCATTGTCACCTGAAGTGACTGTCTTTGCCAACACTGTTGCTGCGTGCAGTCTAGAATCAAGTTGCCATTGTGGTTGCCACTTTTTTTTTTTTTTTTTTGAGACAGAGTCTCGCTTTCTTGCCTAGGCTAGAGTGAGTGCCGTGGTGTCAGCCTCGCTCACAGCAACCTCAAACTCCTGGGCTCAAGCGATCCTCCTGCCTCAGCCTCCCGAGTAGCTGGGACTACAGGCATGCACCACCATGCCCGGCTGATTTTTATATTATATACATTAGTTGGCCAATTAATTTCTTTATATTTTTATGGTAGAGATGGGGTCTCGCTCAGAGCAATCCACCCTCCTCGGCCTCCCAGAGTGCTAGGATTACAGGCGTGAGCCACCGCGCCCGGCCGCCACTTTTTACTCTTAAGGGCAAAGGCCCTATTTTCCCTATTCATGAATGTGTATAGATTTGTTTTGTTTTTAAAGCCTTAAGACAAATGTTTTTTCTTTGAATGTTTTTAAACTGTTTGTTATTGTTACAGGGCATACCTGTTTTTAGGATTAGTTGTAGGGCACAGGGAAGGGGATAACAGGGAAGATACTTATTCATACTGCTCTGTCATTGTCCCATCCTCCACCCCTGCAAAACCGCACCCCTCCAATTGTGCTCTTACCCACCCAGCCTGAGTGTAGTCTTTGTCCACTCTCTTGGGAAAGTTTCTGATTGAAGACTGGAAAGAATTTCTTAACTCTCTTTTGACTTATGACAGTTTTTTTTTGTCTGTTTTTTTTTGTTTTTGTTTTTTTTTGGCAAATATGCTTCCTGGTATTTAGAATCATTAGGCTAATTAGAAACAGTACTTTACTGGTTTGTCTTTTTTTTTTTTTTTACTTCATTTACAATTTACTAGCTCTTCCAGTGTATCAGAGTGATAGGGGGTTTAAACGATCTGAGGTGAATGGGACAGAAGGTGGACTTAGAACATACTGAACAAGTATTTTGATTGAATCAGGCTACTGGTGTAGTTTTTCAGTCTATTGGTAAGTAGTGTCGTCAGTCTTCCATCCAGGCAATCTTGTAGAGTTCACAGGGGGGAACCTGAGTGTCCTTAAAATTGGAGAGGAGTAAGCCCGCAGATCCGCTGGTTACGCTATCTCATACTGGTTATTAGTTATGGCACAAGAGAGGCAGTAGGGTTGATAGATTCCAAACAGCTGGCAGCAAGCAATTCCAAAGGAAATTCTGGCAACAATTCCTATTTTTGACTCTAAAATGGTCAGCACCTTTTTAATACAACCTTCATTGTTTACTTGATCTGCATCTCTCTGTGGAGAACAATCTTGAAGTTTACAGCAATTCTTGGGAAATTCTTTTTCTGAATAATAATCAGTATCCGTCCAATCTTTATAATCGGTGATACTACAACAATGGAACGTATTTTGGATCTTGTCTACTGCATTGCTTCTATAATCTCCCATAGAGTTATAATGCTTCAAAGCATTCTCATAATTATTCTTTTTTTTTTTTTTTTTTTGAGACAGACTCTCACTTTGTTGCCCAGGCTAGAGTGAGTGCCGTGGCATCAGCCTGGCTCACAGCAACCTCAAACTTCTGAACTGAAGCAATCCTGCTGCCTCAGCCTCCCGAGTAGCTGGGACTACAGACATGCGCCACCATGCCCGGCTAAGTTTTTTTGTATATATATTTTTAGTTGGTCAATTAATTTCTTTCTATTTATAGTACAGACGGGGTCTCGCTCTTGCTCAGGCTGGTTTCGAACTCCTGACCTCGAGCGATCTGCCCACCTCGGCCTCCCGAGTAGCTGGGACTACAGGCATGCGCCACCATGCCCGGCTAATTTTTTCTATTTATCTTTAGTTGGCCAATTAATATCTTTCTATTTTTTATTTTTAGTAGAGACTAAAAATAAAGGGGTCTCGCTCTTGCTCAGGCTGGTTTCGAACTCCTGACCTCGAGCGATCTGCCCACCTCGGCCTCCCAGAGTGCTAGGATTATAGGCGTGAGCCACCACGCCCGGCCTCATAATTATTCTTAAAGGTGTTCTTAATCTCATGTCTGAAAACAAATCCTAACATGGCAGAGACCACTTGGACCAAAAAAATGAGAGTCGGAAACATTGCATACAGTTTTAGCATCCATGCAGAAGCCCGGCAGGTAGCAAAACAACCAAAGGTGCCCAAAAGAATAACAACAGTGCCAGGGCCAATCAGCAAAAAAGGGACATTGGTGGCCTTCTCATTTAAAAGGGAAAAATAATTCTCCAGGCTAGCCTTGCCCCAAATGCCAGCGGCAAGGAGGACAACGCCAGCAATCCAGAAGATGAGAGTGTAGATCACGAGGACCCTCTGGAAACAAGTAATGACTGGTTTAGTATGTAGTCTCCAGGACGGGGACGCCATGACTAGCCTGAGACCCTGCACCACTGTACTCTACTGGTTTTTCTTTATCGAAGGAAAGAAATAAACTAATCTTTATCAAGGACAACTACATGTTTTGCTTTTCAAGTTATTACATTAAAGTCTCACAAAAGCCCAGTGAGGGAGCCAGGTCAAACAGGCCCCCTTGAAACCCAAGACTCTGCTGGATCCCAAATCCTATATTCTCTGTGAGACCACACCACCGTCACTGTGCCTTACCTATCATGCGACCTTGGCACTGTCTATCCACACTCACATGCTGGGGATAAGCCTGTCTAGGTGGTAGTGGTATGAGAAGATAAAATTAGAATCTACAAGGACTCAAATCTTTGGCAAACTATTAGCTTTAGGAAAACACTCCTGAAGACAGAGCCTCTCACTGTCTCTAAGCTGATCTAATTTTTTTCTAATTCTGTAAGAGACTAGGCAAGTTTTTTGAAAGTTTTTAAAGTCAGGTATTTGAATAAAAGGACATCTTTGTGAGATTACTACCTTTGAATAATTTTTTAGGTGTTGTTCTTAGAAATAAAAGGAAGGAAACATCTATTTAATGTAATCTCTGACTAGTCCTTTATCTCACCATTATAACATAACTATTTTAGATATTTTGAAATATTTTCTTCTAATCTTTACTCATTTGTATCCTTACCTTTTCATTGTTACAGTTACATTAGTCATGCCATTTTACATTGTGGTTTTTTACTTAATATTTTATTAAACGTTTTATATATGATTATGTAATCTTTACATACTGTTTTAATACTTACATAAAATTCCTTCATGTTGCTGTCCCATGAAGTATTAAAATAGGCACACATTGTTTAACCTTTGTCTTATTAATAAGATTTTGGTATTAAAAGTTTAAGAAAAAAGAAAATAAGGCAGCAAAGGAGAAATTCTTCTTTCTATTTGGCTTGGACCTATATAGTATTTCAGATATAGTTATGGATAAGAATCTAATGTTTATACTAAGATTTTTTTTTAACTGGAAACTTTTTTCCCTTCTAACCTGAAATAATTTATTTCTCTGAGTTTCCATATCTAGTCACAGGTGCAAATTCACTTCCCTTCCTTCCAGTTGGCTAAAATGCAGTTTTAAGAGGGAAGTCATAGAACTGTAGGACTAGAAAGGACTTGTAGAGTCCAGCTTCTTGCCTCAAGATAGGGGTGACAGTCAGTCACCTGAGGCAGGTGTGTATCTTTTTTATCTTTGAAGCTCTCCTGGGGAAGGGATTTCATAACTCTGTCTGAAAACACTGTTAAATAGTTTTAAATAATTCTTCTGCTTTTTAGGTCCATCTTAAAACACATTTACAATAGTTTGAGCTCCCATCAGTCAGTAGTCATTGAGCACTTGCTATGTGCAGGACACAACATCAGGTACTGAGAAGTATATAAATTAAAGTTCCAGCCCTGGAGACCATACGTGCCACTTGTAGAGACTGGGTGGCCTCAAATATCACACTAAATATTTTGGATTTTATTCTAAGCCATCAAGGATATTTTAGTCTAGATGCAACACTGTGGAAGTGGTATTTTAGGTAGAAATAATCTGTGGTTCTGGGCAGCAAGGTTTCATTTATCATTCATTCAGCAAATACTTGTTCAGACTCTATTTTGTATGTCTTCTGATTAAGGAATATGGAGCAGATAAATAAATAGAATAAATCTTCCCTTTAGAAGATTTTAAACATACACGTGCATAAATAATTACAATATAAGGCAGGGAATGCTATGCAAATAATAGAGACAGAGGGGCTATATTTTTTCTGTTTGCATTTAACTCAATGAGGGCAGCTTCCTGGACAAAATGAGGATTAAGCTGGTTTTGGAGGATGGGCAATATTTCTAAAGAATGCAAATTCTGGACTCTGCTGTTGCATTCAAAGATCCCTTTATCAGAAATACGTTTTCAGGCCGGGCGCTGTGGCTCACGCCTGTAATCCTAGCTCTTGGGAGGCCGAGGCGGGCGGATTGCTCAAGGTCAGGAGTTCGAAACCAGCCTGAGCAAGAGCGAGACCCCGTCTCTACTATAAATAGAAAGAAATTAATTGGCCAACTGATATATATATAAAAAAAAAAAAAATTAGCCGGGCATGGTGGCGCATGCCTGTAGTCCCAGCTACCCGGGAGGCTGAGGCAGGAGGATCACTCGAGCCCAGGAGTTTGAGGTTGCTGTGAGCTAGGCTGACGCCATGGCACTCACTCTAGCCAAACAGAATGAGACCTTGTCTCAAAAAAAAAAAAAAGAAATACGTTTTCATTTAGACGTCAAAACTCAGGTGCTCAGCGAAGTAAGTCCATATTGTAGGAAAGGGCTGGCTATTAGGAGGCAAAGTTATCATCATTGCTTTGCCATTAGTAGACTGAATATATGACCTTTGGATAATTCACTAACTTGAACTTTTGTTTTCTTATAGTTAAAATGAGTAACTGGGTGTGGGTTATTTTCAAGGCATTTTCTAGCTCTACTGAAGTACCTGTATGGAAAGCTTAGTAGCTATGGGCATGAATCTGATGCTAATATGCCTTGTTTGTGTCCTGGATCAGCCATTCCCCATCTCTCTGATTAGGCACATTACTTTGCCTCCCTTTCCTTATCTGTAAAATGGAGATCTTCGTAATACACTCCCTCATAGGGTCAGTATGAATATGAAAAGTACTTAGAACAATACTTGGCACAGACTAAGTGCTCAGTAAATATTCGTTATAATATTGGAGTGACATCAGGGAAGATGGCACAGGAGAAAGCTCCAGGAATTCATGTCTTCACTAAAACAAAAAATAACGATTGAATTGACAGGAACTGTGTGAGGCAACTATTTTGGAATTCTTGGTCTAGCAGCGTCTTGTAGCATCCAGGGGAAAAGTCTCTGATAAATTTCAGTAAATTTTGGTCAAATTCAGCTTTCACACTGCTGCCATTACCACTCCCCAGCCCCAATCCCATGGCAGGCAGCTGGCAGGCTGTGAGCGCTCCTGGTGCAGCATGCTGGAGCCAGGTGAGCAATGAGGGTTTTCTCATATCAGAAGGAGAAAGAGAGAAAGGGGCAGAAAAAATATTTGAAGAAATCGTGACTCAATTTACATAAATTATTTTACCCAAAAAGGAAAGACCTGAATATGCACTCCCAAGAGCTCAACGTACTCTTAAGTAGGATAAACACAAAGAGATCCATGTCAAGCAACTTGTCGTGTACAAGGGATCCTCAATAATATTAAAAGTTGATTAATCCTTAGAAACCATGGGGGCCAGAAGGCAATGGGATGACATTTAAAGTCTTAATAGAAAAAAGTATCAACCAAGATTGTCAATCTTGCGAAGTTATCTTTCAAGAGAAAAAGAGAAATTAAAACAATTCCAAATAAACAATAGCTGAGGGACCCTGCCCTGCAAGAAATGAAGGGAATCTTTCAAGCTGAAATGAAAGGACACTAAACAGCAACTTAAAGCCATAAGGAAAAAAACAGAAAAGAAAAAAAACTCTCATCAATAAAGGTAATTATATAGGTAAATATAAAAGCCAATATTAATTTACTTTCAGTATTTGTGATTTTTCTTTTTCCTATATGATAAAATAGGCAAATGCATATAACAACAATTATAAATTTATGTTAATGGGCATGTGATATATAAGGTTGTAATCTGTGACAATCACTATGTATAGGGGTAAGGGTGAAGATGTGTAAGAGCAGTGTGTTTATATACTATTAAAACTAAGTTGGGACTAGGCACAACAGCTCACATCTGTAATCCCAGCACATTGGGAGGGTAAGGCAGGAGGATCACTTGAGCCCAGGAATTCAAGACCAGCTTGGGCAATATAGCAAGACCGCATCTCTATAAAAATTTTTAAAAATTATCCAGGCAATGTGGCACATGCCTATAGTCCCAGCTACTCAGGAGGCTGAGGCAGGAGGGTCACATGAGCCCAGCAGTTTGAGGCTGCAGTGAACTATGTGACTAGGCCACTACATTCCAGCCTGGGTGACAAAGCAAGACTCTAAAAAAGAAAGAAAGGAAAGAAAGAAAGAATCTTAATTGGCGTAATTCAAACTAGGTTGTTATAAATTTAAGAAGTTCATTGTAATCCCCAAGGTAACTGCTAAGAAAATAATTTTAAAATACACAAAAAAGGAAAGGAGATGATCATTAGAAAGGTACACTACAAAAAAATCAACTAAATAAACAAAAAACAAGGCAATAATGTTAGACTTGAAGAACAAAAAATATTTATACATAAGATATGGAGAAAATAATAGATAAATGTCAGGATTAAATCCTTCTTTATCAGTAATCACATTAAATATAAATAGACGACAATAAAAATTAGAAAATGTAAATGGGTGACACTCAACTATTAAGAGAGATTGGATTAAAGAAACAAACAGGATCCATGTATATGCTGTCTGCAAAAGACAATTTCCATATAAAAACACAAAGGGGCCGGCCGGGCGTGGTGGCTCACGCCTGTAATCCTAGCACTCTGGGAGGCCGAGGCGGGCGGATTGCTCAAGGTCAGGAGTTCGAAACCAGCCTGAGCGAGACCCCGTCTCTACCAAAAATAGAAATAAATTAATTGACCAACTAAAAATATATATACAAAAAAATTAGCCGGGCATGGTGGTGCATGCCTGTAGTCCCAGCTACTCGGGAGGCTGAGGCAGTAGGATCGCTGAGCCCCGGAGATTGAGGTTGCTGTGAGCCAGGCTGATGCCACAGCACTCACTCTAGCCTGGGCAACAAAGTGAGACTCTGTCTCAAAAAAAAAAAACCACAAAGGGGTTAAAAGTAAAAGGATGGAAAAAGATATTTCATGCCAATAGCAACTAAAAGAGAACCTAGGTGGCAATATTATTAGACAAAATAGACTTTAAATAAATAAAGATTGCAAGAGATAAAGGACATTATATATTGAGAAAAGGTTCAATAAAGCAAGAAGAGATAACAGTTATAAACATATACACACCTACAAATGAGCCCTAAAATATATTAAGCAAAAATTGACAGACTCAAAGGAAG